GGCCTTGTGGGGGAACTTGGGAAATTCCCCTGGTGGGACATAGCTCCCACTAGGTAGCATGTGATTCAGGCCTAGTTGTAGGTCAGGCTGGGCAAGGTAATTCCACCCATCAGCAAGTGTGTGAGTTGGTTTTGGAAGGGGGGAACTGGGCAGGGCTGGGCCAGCCTTAGCTTACTGCAATGTACAGGAGTTAGCCTGGAATGCAGGTCACACCAGGCTAGGCTATCACACCTACCAGTTTGCATGAGCCAGGGATGGGAGCAGACTGGGCAGGGCTAGGCTGCAGTACTCGCCAGTGAGAGTAGGGCCTGGGGGCCGACCTTGACTGGCCAGACTACAGTATCCTAAAGCAAAGGCCAAAATGGAGGAATGGGTTATGCCAAGTTGGGTCAGAGCAACCACTGGCATGCACAAGATCTGTGGCTGGGAACAGGCCTGGTTGTGGAGTTTAGGGGACACCTCAGCTGGATTGTGGTTCCTACTGGTGAGTGTGAAAGCCAGAATGGGGGTGGAGTTCTGGGCTGGACATGACTGCAGTGTACCTCTTCATGGGTTTGGGCTTGGTCTGGGGTGTGCAAGGTTGGGCTAAATGAGGCAGAGAGGGTATAGGACAGGGTGGGCTAGGTCTCAGTCCCAACTGGACAACGCAAGAGCTGTGTCTGGGCTTGGACCTGGTGTGAGTGGGCTGTAGCAACCAACAGTAAGAATCAGAGTGGGTGTGGGTCAGGTCTGGGAAGGCCACTGTTCCTGCCAGGATAGGAAGTGGACTAAATTAGGCTGGGCCAAGGACCCACCAGTGTGCACAAGTTTTGCCACTGGGAGGAGGCCTTGAGAAACTTCTGTCAGGATGCAGGTGAGTGCAAGAACGAAGGTTGGGAGCTGCCCAGACCAGGCCAGGTTATGGTACCTGCAGGCTTATGTGTGGGTCAGGTCTGGGAGTGGGCCAGTTCAAAACACCCACTGGCAGACCTGAGAAGCAGAACAGGGTGCAGGACAGACCGACTTGGGTCACAACAATAGCCAGTTCATATTAGGGCTGGGACTGGTGGTTGGCTGGTTTTTGCTAGGCTGCAGCATCCATCAGCATGAGATGGAACTGGGGGAAGGCCAGGTTTGGCCAGGCTGCAGCAACCAGCTAATGCCAAGGTAAGGTAGGCCATGCTAGATTGGGCCACAGCACCCATCAGGAAATGTGGGACCTAGGGCAGCGGTGCGAGTCCATAGGTGGACTGTGGGGCTGGGGGGACTCCTCTGTTGGGCCCCTGCCCCCAAAGGCAAGTATGTGAACTGGGATATGGACAGACCAGCCCGGGTAGGGATACAACATCTGTCTGCCTGCATGTGAACTGGGCTGGGGGAGAGCCAGGCTGGGCTGATTGTACCCACTGGTGTATACAAAGGTCGGAGTAAGAGCAGCCTTGCTTCAGCATAAGTTGGCAAGTGCTGCGACTGGGGCAAATCTTGTGAAGCTAGAGTGCAGAACCAATTGGAGAATGCAAGATCTGGGACTGGGAGTGAGCCCAGTAGGAAAACTGTGGGCACCTCTCTGATGGGCTGCAACTCCCACTGGTGAGCATGAGAACCAGGGCTGGGGGCAAACCTGGTTAGACAGATGGTAACATCTGCCAGCATGAAAATGGGCTGGATAGTGGGGTCAATTGGGTTGAGAGAGGCTTCAATGCTCTTTGATATGCAGGAGAGCTGTATGGGATGTAGGACAGACTGGACCAGTCTGCTGCACGTACTAGCAAGCATAGGAATTAGGGTTGGGGGCAGGCCTACTAGGGGTTATTGGGAATTGCTCTGACTACAGGCCACAGCTCCTGCTGGTGTACGTGAAGGCCGAGTGTGTGGTGGGCAGAGCTGGGGTGAACTGCAGCATCTGCTGGTTTACATAAGAGATGGGTTTGGAGACAGAACTGATCCAGCAATTGCAATTACCAGTGTGTGCATAGGTTGATGTGGGTGATAGACACAGCCAGACCCCATACTGGCAAGCACACACAGTTAGGTCAAGATAACCTCAGATGAGGTTTCTCTGGGGATTCCCCCCGCTGAACTGCTGGACTCAGAACTTCACAACTCAGAACATTCTGCAGGGGAGAATTGTAGCATCTGTGGTCTGACTGTGGAAAACATGTGTGAGTACTGGGTTTTCTTAGTGGCTCAGATGTAAAAGTGGATGGTATACTCTGATGCTCAAGGAGGATATGATATTCCATTGGGGCCTGCAGAAGACATCTGGTACCACAACAGAGCAAGGATGGCAGAACCAATTGGCCAAGTAGCCCAACAAAGCGTTGACAGCAAATATATGGGCGAATGAAGACTCTAGGAGGACTATGTCAGCAATGGACTTTGGAAAGTTTCTCTCATCCTTGGTGCAGCAAGATCAGCAGCATTTCAGAACTATCAAAACCACTTCAGCAGAACCCTTGGAGCATGATCCACACTGGGGATATTGGGATATTGGGTACCCGTTTCCCATCCCTGGGTACTGAGGTGGAAGGGGAGACCAGGTGAGGCTTCTCCCCTTATCTACTCTTTTTCCCCAAATCCAGGAAGAAGAAGAAGAAAATTGGAAACAATGGGCTCATCCACTTTCCCATAATCCTCAACCTTTGCCACCCCAATCAATGATGTAAACATGATCAAAAATAAAATAAAGTCAATTGTAGTGCTTGCAGTTCTATATTGGTGAAATAATGAATTAATGCAAACAAAGCAGAAAGAGCATGTGCATTTTCTCTTTATTAAAATATTGTATAAATTGCATAAACACAGAGCAGTTGGGCACATCCATTCTAAGGCACTGTTATGGTTTGAATGCAAGTCCACAAGAGAGAAAAGAGAAGCCATTACATTCAGTATTATTTTTTATGTCTACATTCAGACTCCTCCCATGTTACAAGTTTATTGCTACTGGGATCTTAGTTTTAACCCCAGAATTATAGCAGCATTATCAGGGATCTAGATGTCAAGAATTAAAGACACATCCTGGCTCTAGTACTTGATATGATTTGGCACTTCATTATAAACTCTCTTGCTTTGTTCTCCATTTGTTTCCCAACTCTTGTTTAATTAATGATATAAACTCCTTATGAACCTGACATATTTTATATTTCTTTATCATTAAGTCTAGAACAGGACTAATTAGGCACATAATATATACCTTCCCAAATACTTATATCTCATTCCTAAGAAGTTTAATGGAATAGATATACTTTCCACAATTCTAATTCAAGGATTGGATGACTATATACCTTCACAAAGGGAAAATGCTTAAATGCCCAATTCTTGCATTTTATAACAAACAAGGAAGGCTCAATGGATATTTTCACATATTAACTGCTTTAACTGATAGTAAGAATTTTTCCTTGGTTACGGGAACTTGAGTTGTTAACATGAATATATAAGGACATTTATATAAGTAGTAGTGTACGTATAAGAAAATTCAAAGAGTAAAAATCACTGAGAAGCTTATAAATTATCTGAACAAGGGATCTTTACCTCCCTAAAACCATGTGTCTCTGTGTGTACATGACACCAAAGCCACACACGGTTAAAAATCTTTTATAACACCCTCGAAACAACTGGAGATAACTAGGTTTGGGAATAACAGAAATATAATGAGAATAAAAGAAATGTTTGCTTAAGGCAGTGTGCTCCAAGGGTTATCTGGAGAATACTAGCTCAGTGGATTGGTACTGGGTGTATATGAAAAAGGTTATGGGGATCAAGTAGATTTCAGAAACACTGAGCCAAAAGACATTTCCTCCCTTTCCTAGAGGACCTCACAGATGTTCCCATTTACTAACATGCACTATGGGTCTAGGAAGGAGAAACAGCAGGCAGTGATTCCCAACATGTGAAAAATTCTCTTATAGAACCATGTATTCTATCATATCTTATTACAGAAACGTAGAACTGGAATGGATAAAACTTCAATGCACTGCATACCAAACAAGTTAAAAGCTGCGCATTCTTCAGGGATTCTAAATGAAATGAGATTCTACTGATACAAGATTGTCAAGTAGATTCTTCCACAGAGCTCTTACTTATTCTGTGAGTACAATCAACTACCAAATCAAAACTGTTCCAACCAGAGTATAAAACTTTATAAAATCCCAAAATAAAGGTAAAAATCTTAATTTCTTTAAATATAAAAATGTTTCAATAGAAATAATTCTGATCCTAACAAATCACATACATCCTTCATCCTTGTGTTCCTGACACACTTTTCCTGTTTGACAAAGTTCAAGGTCTCCCTTTTGTCACATCAGGTACACTTAAAGATCTCATCTAATACAACTAACTTTACTAAGATACAGAACAATTATGGCACTGCTGGGCCCGGCATGGTAGCCTAGTGGCTAAAGTCCTCACCTTGCACGCTCCAGTAGCCCATATGGGCCTGGGTTCAAATCCCGGCAGCTCCGTTTTCCATCCAGCTCCCTCCTTGTGTCCTGGGAAAGCAGCCGAGGACAGTCCAAAGTCTTGGGACCCTGCATCCACGTGGGAGACCTGGAAGAGGCTCCTGGTTCCTGGATTCTGATCGGTGCAGCTCCACCCATTGCAGTCACTTGGGGAGTGAATCAATGGACGGAATATCTTCCTCTCTGTCTCTCCTCCTCTTTGTATTCCTGACTTTCCAATAAAAATAAGACAAATCTTAAAAAAAAAAATTATGGTACTGCTATAACAGAGGTGTCCGAGAGAAATGGTTACTGAGGATTCTCACCAGTCATAGGCTTTATGCTAAAGCTGTGATATGGTTGTCTTGGAACACAAGGTTTTTCATTGTAATAAAAAAATAAGGATTCTAGACAGAAAAAATAAAAATATAGGAAAGTTATAAGACTAGGTGGATACTCTTAAACTCAAATATCTTGGAAGATAGGATTTTAAAAACAGCAAAAGAAAAAAAAAAAGCCTGCTATAAAGGTCAAAGAGGTTCTTGCAAGACAAATATGCTACAGTCTAGGCTAAGATTTTCTCTTTTTTGAGTTAGTGTTAACATCTGTAGCATCTGTTTCCCTTATCAATTCTTAAAGAAGTCCTTTAAAGTGAGTGACTTGGTGCATAATAAGGCCTGCTCGCTGCCTGAAGCTTTTTGAACAATGACTACACTTATATGGCTTCTCTCCAGTATGAATTCTTAGATGGATGACAAGGCTCGGTCGCTGTCTAAAGCTTTTCCCACAGTAACTACATTTGAAAGGTCTTTCTTCAGTGTGTGTTTGCTGGTGCAGAGTAAGTGCTGCCAGTCGACTAAAACTTTTCCCACAATTAGGGCATCTATGCGGTTTTTCACCTGTGTGGGTTTTTAGATGTCTTTTAAGACTTGATCCATGACAAAAAGTTTTCCCGCACTCAAGGCATTTGTACGTTTCTTCTTCAGAATGGGTTCTCTGGTGCCCAATAAGATGTGAGCGCCGAGTAAAGCGCTTCTTACACACAGTACACTCATAGGGTCTTTCCCCTGTGTGAAGCCGTTGGTGTCGATAAAGGTCTGAACTACGAAGGAATCTTTTCCCACATTCAGGGCATTTGTGAGGTTCCTCTCCCGAATGAATTCTCTGATGCCCAGTAAGCTGTGACTTCCGAGCAAAACATTTTTCACACTGCGGGCATTGGTGAGGTTTCTCTCCTGGGGTCTTTTTCTTAGGTGATTTAGGGTTGAGAGGTTCTTCCAAGTTGGAGCTCTCAGCTGCCTCTCCTGTAGTCGGGCTCTGAGTATCTACAAGTTTGGTTAAATCTGGCTGTAAGTCCTCTGGAGGGGGCTCCCACTGATTTTCTAACTGCTCATATTCTTTTTCCAAAATGGGACCCTGGAGAGCATTCCCATCTAATGTTACAATAAATGGATACATATTCTCCAGTTTTTTCTGTTTTGAAGTATCTTCTTCGTTTTCTAACCCAATCTCAAAACCTGGGAGAGAAAACAGAAATTGCAGATGCTATTATCTCCATGGAGAAAGGGAAAATGAAGAGTCATAGTAAACAATTAAGAAGGAATATAACAGTTGCTAAACAAAAATCCAAACTGTAGACTGATTAAGGTTAATTCTTCTTTGCTTTGTTCCCTAGTATATCAATGAACCATAACTTACCTATCTTAGAATCAAGCAATTGCTTCATTTCTTTGGAATCCTCTAGTTCCTTAACCCATGGTTCTTCTCTTTGCTCCAATGGGAAGTTCACATCAAGCTTTGGTAATGGATATTCTGGCCACAACAAAGAAAGAGAAGAACTGTAGTTTGACTTATCACAGGTTTTTCCAAATTTTAAGCTGATTTTTTGAACACACGGTGTATTAACATTAACTTTCTTTCCAATTATTTTTATTTTGTCTGCAGTCACAAAGTCTTTACCAATGCATAGTCTAACAACTCTCACAAACACATTGTTTCCCCCTGTGCCTTTTATGTTTTTCCAATTTATGGATCAGACTTTCCTGGCATCATGCCTTCCTCATAATTTTTGTTGGGAATTGAACATTTAACTTGGATATTATTGTAATCCGGTGTCATCCCCAGGGATTTTTGTTATTTCTTTGAGTGCTGTTTTGGAGCTTGTGTGTTGCTAGGCATTACTTATGTTAATATGTTATTAACATAACATATTATGTATATATACATGTTATATATATGGTTTTTATATATATCATATATATATAAACATATTGGCATGATTAAGTCATTCTGCAGTGACAGTTGGTTTTGCGGGACCAGAAAAAAATATCTGAAGAAATACTGACCTCAAACTCCACCAAACGTACTGAAAAAAAGTGAATTTATACATTTCAGAAGTTCAATGAGTTCCAAGTAGGATAACCACAAGGAGACCCACAGATTCTAAAAATTACATGAAAGGATAAAACCTTGAAAGACAGCAAGAAAAGCGTGACTCATCACTCATAGGGAAATACCAATGATATTTAAAAAGTTCTCACCAGAAACAAGGGAGGCAAGAAGATAGCAACATAACATAGCCAAAGTGCTTAAGGAAAAATGAAAATCATGCACCAAGAATCTTTTATCCAGAAAAGCTGTTTTTTTTTCCAGGCAGTTTGAAATAGATATTCCTGAGAGAATAAACTGAAAAATGTATTGCTAGGAGCTTTGACTGACAAGAAATACTAGTAGAACTTTCTCAGTTAGAATGCAAGTATCCTCAGATGCTAATTTGAACTCACATTAAAAAAAAATAAAAGACCCAGCAAAAGTAGAGGCAATTATGCAATTTGAAAGGACAATTTAAATAAAATTGTGTAGATAGTGTCTTCTGTGCATATAACATAAAAAATGTAATATATTTGCCAATAAAAATATAAATAAGGTGTGTAAGGGCAAACTCCATTGGCCTAGAGAAATGAGCCTGGTGGGCAACCCAAATTCTTTGGAACAAATGAAAAAAGACAGAAATGATAATGTTAATGTAACAAAGCCTTTCATACATAGTTGTTTTCCTATCTTCTCTCAAGAGAACCAACTTTTAAAGACTCTTCTTTCAAAAGAAAGAATTCTCAAAGACTCTCTTTAAAACTATTGCAATTTTATAAAGTAATAATAATGATGTTTTGCTGGGTTTATGACACTTTATCATGCATGATAGTAATACCACAAATAAGGGGAAGAGGGGGAGTAGAGACAATATTTTTATATCCTGATGGCATTAAGTTAATATAACTCTGAAACCAATTGTGGGTTAAGATACACAATGTAAATCCCAGACCAGTCACTAATGAAACAACATCATAATATTTAAAATTCATTGAAGCAAAATATTACACTTGAAATATTTACTTAATGCAAAAGAAAGCAGAAAAAAAGGAACAGAATAAGAAAGACATAATATATACAGAAAATTTATAAGGGCAGATATAAATCTAATAAATAAGATTAAGGACAGCCCTCTGGCTTAGCGGTTAAGCTGCTGGTTAGGGCATCTTCATCTCACATTGGAGTACCTGCTTCAGCAGCTGGATTTAGTAGCTGCCTCCAGCTCCTGAACCCAGGTACTTGCTAATGTGGATCCTGGAAAGCAGGAATTGTGCTTCAAGTGACTGAGTTTCTGCCCCCTCCCCCCACATGGGAAGCCTGTATTGAGTCTCTAGATTCCAGGATCATAATCTGTTTCCATTCACACTCCCACTTTAAGGAGTGAACCAGAAGATGGGAGATTAATCTCTGTCTCAAAAAAAAAAAATTGGCTTACATGGAGATGGATTAAATAACTTAAAGAAAAGGCAGAGAATATTGGACTGGACAATGTTTCAACTATATACTACCTACAAGACATACTTCACTTTTTAAAGATTTTATTTGAAAGGAAAACTTAGAGAGACAAAAAGAGGCAGAGAGAGAGAGAGAGATCTTCCACCCATTCTCCAAATGGCCACAAGGGCCAGAGGTGAGCTGATCCAAAGCCAGGAAGCAGGAGCTCCCTCTGGGTCTCCCACGTGGGTGCAGGCACCCAAAAACTTGAGCTATCCTCCGCTGCCTTCCCAGGACATAAGCAGAGAGCAGGATCAGAAGCAGAGCAGTTGGGACATGTGCTGTGCCCACATAGGATGTCAGCAACACAGGCAGAAGCTTAGTCTGCTATGCTATGGCGCTGGCCCCAAGACACGTTTAGACTCTAAGTTACAGAATAAAAGTAAAGGGACAAAACAGATACCATAAGACAGCATGTAAAATGTTATCATAGGTAAAAAGGGTATTTTTAAATGATAAAGGGACCAACACAGTAGCAAGATGCAATAATTATAACCACAAATATACTTAATTATGGAATACCAAAATACATGCAACAAAACCAACAGAAATGGAATGAGACAATTCAAAAGTAGTAGGTGTACATTTGAACAACCCCTTGCATAATGGACAGAAAATCAAAACAGAAGATCAACAATAGAAGTTATAGAAAATAATATAAACCAATGAAATAAAATAGATATTCACAGACCACTCCACTAACAACAGCAGAATGCACATTTTTCCCAAGTGCACATAGAAAATTCTCCAGGACACATATAGTGCAACATCATAGAACAAATGTTCTGAATATAAAACAATAATTGCAAAGTAAAGTGTCCCACTAAAATAGAACATTAGAAGTAATAACAAAGAAATTTGGGAATCTCATGAATAATGTGGACATTGAATAACACATTCCTAACCAACCAAAGAAGAAATAAAAACTGAAATTAGAAATATTTTTAGATAGTGGAACAATGCTGTTTTGGTTATAGAATCATGACTTGAAATCTGGTATTGCAATACTTCTAGTTTTGTTCTTATTCAAGATTGCTTTGGCTATTTCAGGGTCTTTTGTTTTTCCATATAAATTTTGAGACTTTCCCCCTAATTCTGTAAAGAATGACATTAGCATTTTGATGAGGATTTCAATGAGCCTGTAAATTGCTTTTGGTAGCATGGACATTTTAATAATAGTAATCCATGAACTTCCAATCAATGAACGTGGAATGTGTTTACACTTTAGTGTTTTATAATTAATGCTGTCTAGATTTTTCACATCCATGGTAAAGTTTATCTCAAGGTATTCCGTTGTTTTGTGTAGTTATACTGGGTAGGATTGTTCTTGTAAGTTCTGCATTAGTGAGCCTGTTTTTGGTATATAAAAAAACCAATTATTTTTTTGTGTTAATTTTGTTATCCTGCAACCTTTCTAAATTCACCTATCAGTTTTAATAGTCTCTTGGTGGAGTCCTAATGGTTCTTAATAGAATTATGTCATCTTCAATCAAGAATAATTTAATTTCCTCCCATTTATATGCTTTTAATTTCTTCCTTTTGCTTAATGGCGCTGGATAACACTATCTGAACTATACTAAGAATGACAAGAATTCACATCCTTATTTAGTTCCAGAGTCAGTGGAAATGATTTCAGCTTTTCTCAATTTAATGTTTGCTGTGAGCTTGTCAACTAGAGCCTTTATTGTGCTTAGGTATATTTCTTCTGTATTTGATTTGCTCAAGTTTTTTTTTTTTTTTTAATGATGAAGGGATTTTCCATTTTACAAATGCCTTTTTTATATTTTTAAGAAGACTGAAATGTTTTAGCCTTCAGTATGCTGATACAATGCATACAATGTTTACTGATTTGCATATATCAAAACATCTCTGCCCCTCCTGGGAAAAAGTCCACTTGGTGAGGGTGCATGATGTTTTTGATGAGTTGCTGATTCTGTTTTCTTGAGAGTTTTTGCATCAGTGTTAATCAGGGATATTGGCCTATAGTTTTGCTGTTGTGTCTTTGTATGGTTTTGGAAGTGAGGTAACACTGCTTTGTAAAATGAGTTTGGCAGCGATCTTCCCCTTTTGGTTTTTTGGAAGAAAGAACTGTTGTTGGTTCTTCCTTGACAGAGTGGTGAAATGCAGTGTTGTAACCATAAAAATGGACACATACTCCAATGGAACAGAACAGAAATACCAGACATATATCCATGCATTTGTTGCAAATTTATCTTGATAAAGGTGCTAAAAACACTCTCTGGAAAAATAACAGCCTCTTTAATAAATGTTGCTGAGAAAACTGGATTTCCATATGCTAAAGTTTGAAATAAGACTTCTACATTTCACCTGATACAGAAATCAACTAAAAATGGATCAGAGATCTAAACATAAGATTTGAAACTAGGAAATTACTAGTAGAAACATAGGGAGAGTGGCTAGCACTGTGACACAGCAGGCAAAGCCACCACCTGTGATGTTGCCATCCCAAATGGACACTGGCCCATGTCCCAGCTGCTTCACTTCCCATCTAGTTCCTTGATAATGGCCTGGAAAAAGCAGAAGACGGCCCAAATGTTTGGGCCTCTGCTACTCATGTGAAAGACACTGACCATTTGCAGAATGAACCAGGGAATGGGAGATTCTCTCTTTCTCTCTCATGTTCTCTTTAACTCTGGCTTTCCAATAAAAATAAATCTTTTTAAAAAGGTTTATTTTTTACTTATTGGAAAGTCAGAAAAAAAGATCTTCTATCTTCTGGTTCACTCCCCAAATGGCTGCAACAGCCGGAGCTGAGCCGATCTAAAGCCAGGAGCCAGCAGCCTCTTCTGGGTCTTCCATGTGGGTGCAGGGTCCCAAGGCTTTGGGTCATCCTCAACTGCTTTCCCAGGCCACAGCAGGTAGTTGGAAGGGAAATGGAGGAGCCAGGATATGAACTGGTGCCCGTATGGGATCCCAACATACGCAAG